GAGTCATGCCGGGGTAAAGGGACCTGTTCAGCCCTTGAGGATGTTGTGCAGCCTCCTGGACGGCCGGGGCAGAGCGAGTGAGAGGAGCCGCAGCCCTGCAGCACATCTTGTACAGACGAGAGAGGAAGGGGCACCACAACCATGCAGCACGTTGGGGACAATCCACGAGGGACGCATCTCCTGACTCTCCCATGAAAACCTCCTTTTAGCAGGAAAGGGGCAAGCGCAGTGACAGCGAGAGAAGCACCTCTCGGTCTGAGCTGTGCAGTGCTTAAGGAGAGGCTGTTGCTAGACAGAAGTAAACGCTGTCACCCATCTCCTCCCATTGGTTCAAATTCACTCCAATGACGAGCTTATCAGTTACCTGCTCTTGCAGCTGGTTGAAAAACTAATTTGCCAATGTTTTTCCTCTGATAAAAAAGCCCCGAGCCCCCATTGCTGGCTTCACGGACTTGTATTAATCATTTTTCAGGGACACTCAGGCAACTGCCACGTATTCTGTGAGTTCTCAAATTGCTGTGATTTTTAGCATGAACGTTGGAGCCAGCCCCAAACCTGCTCCCACCCTCCTCCACCTGCGGGAGGATGTTGAGCTTTCCAACAGGAGCAACACTACGCCGGGACGATGATAAAGCAGTGCAAATAACAGCTATTCCGAGCCGTAGCGATTCCCTGACGTTTAGGTGAATATTCACAAACATCTGTGAAAATCCCGATTAGCTGTTGAATGCTTCAGCAGGTGGAGCGGGGAGCCAACATTGTCATTAATGTTATTCATAGCAAACATTGGTGTCTGACACTCGCCTTTCCCGGGCGTAGCAGGTTACCGCCACCTACCCCTGTCATCTGCCATCAGGTTTTCTCCCTCACCGGTGCATTTTTTCTTGAGATTTTCACAAAGGACTCAAAGGAAACCTCCTCCGTGGTTGTCCTGCCCATCTTCCTTCCTCAGTGACCATGCCTTGGAGCTACCACAGGCTCAAGGCCGCAGTGTGTTTTCTTCCAGCCATTTAAAGCTGATGTGAGTCAGGACTGACCCCAGCTTGGCCTCCCCATGGCCTGGAAAAAACAGCAAATTGGCAAAACTTGCAGGGTGCATGAGCACCACTGGACATAAGGACAGCAAATTTGTCACCCAAGCAGGGAATGTTTCAACAGGGGATTTAAATCAGTATTGTGGAGATGGAGGCCAAACTCTGCAGCACACGAACTCTGAGACAGAGCTGGATGCTTTCCCATCCCAGTGCAATGTTAAACTCTGTTTCCAGGAGGACACGTCAGCAACCGTGGAAAGCCTCAGTGATGGTAGCGGAGGGAAAAATCTGCCCCAAAATACAGAGCACTTAGAAAAATCTTTCCCTTACGCTAGAGCCGATTGGACGTATTTCATCTCGCCTCAGCCTGGCACACTTTGGAGCAGTTCCCTCCAAAGCGTTTTAATGGTCGCTGCTTTAGATGTCATCTGATTCTGCTTTTCTTTCCTTATTTCCTCTTCCTTGCTGTCTCTGGCTGCCTGCAGCACGGAATGAGTCACAGGCTGATAAATCCTCGAGTCCTTCCTTACGCTAGAGCCGATTGGACGTATTTCATCTCGCCTCAGCCTGGCACACTTTGGAGCAGTTCCCTCCAAAGCGTTTTAATGGTCGCTGCTTTAGATGTCATCTGATTCTGCTTTTCTTTCCTTATTTCCTCTTCCTTGCTGTCTCTGGCTGCCTGCAGCACGGAATGAGTCACAGGCTGATAAATCCTCGAGTCCTTCCACCTCTTTCTGTACCATTTCTCGTCCCCTCGTGGCCACGTGTGGGTCTCAAGCGGAGCCGCCGCGGGGCCAGGAGGCGAAGCGGGGCTGAGGGGCGGCGAGGGAGGATGTCTCGCCCTGCTGAGAGCTGCGCGCGGGCGGCGCGCCGCAAAGCGAAGCCCTCGCGCGCGAGCGTCAGCGGGGCCGGGACACGCGTTGTTCGGGAGCCGCGGGGGCCCCGCGCCGCTGCCCGCCC